AAAAAAAATTGATTAGTGAGACGTGGAAAATATATCTAAAAGATGTATTGCAAATTAAGAATTTTATATAAGTATTTTTATTTGAATTATTGGCTTTCTCAATGTGAGTTGTCTCACATCTTTATACAGAGAAAATAAGTTCAACTAATAAGCCTAGTGTACTCCTCCTATAATCAATTGATTTTGGAATGAAGCCTCACTATGGTGCACCTAGGTTCATCCTCTTATGGTGCACTTCACGTGCATAAGACGAGACTCGTTTCCCTCGATTCTTTCATAATCTATTAATGTAGTTTCTTTTTTCTTTCTTTTTTTTCGCGCTAACACACATGATTCACAAAAGGTGTGAACATTTTTGAATATGGTGAATCTAACAATGTAGGGAGTCAATTCAAGAGCATGAAGCACAGAATAGATGAAATCGACGAGGAAAACTATGTGTTCAAGTACAGCGTAATCGAAGGAGATGTTTTAGGAGATGCTCTCGAATCCATATCGTATGTTGTGAAGGTCGAGGCCGGCCCGGAAGGAGGATCGGTTTGCAAAACCGTAAGCACTTACCACACGAAGAAGGAGGACCACCACATTACCGAGGATTTGATTAAGGAAGGGAAAGAGAAGGCTAAAGCCATCTTTAAGGCTGTGGAGGCTCACCTCCATGCACACCCTCACGCTTACAACTAAATCTCCTGCATTAATTAATAAGTCCATGCATTGTGTTTTAAGTTTTCATGAAAGCTTTTCATTAATGGCAAAATGAATAATCAAGTATGTTTGTTATGTTGTTGGGTGTGGTTTACAATAAATGTGCATGACATCTTTATGCAATTATGGGTATGTATTGTTAATGAAGTGATCTTCACGTATCGCTTATGTGTAATTTTGTATTGAATAATAATATGTTTTCATAAAGATTGTGTTTTTTGTTTTTGGTTTTCCTAATCTTTCTTGGATAGCGAAATGAATGAAGCTTGTTGTTGTGTGTGGTTTAAATAAATTAGTATTCACATATATGAATAAAATATTATAATATGCATATAGTATTAAAATTACAAGTTAAATAATGATATTAGATTTGAAACATAGAGTATTATAAGGTATATTTATGCATATAATATTAAAATTATAAGTTGAATAATGGTATACCAACTTATCAGTCCGGCGGAAGAGATCGATAGTCGGGGACTTTGGAGAACCATTTGGAGATGGCCCGGCCCTCAAAGAGTTCGCCCCTTCTTATGGCTGGTACTGAAAGGTCGACTATCTGACCAACTTTGAGCGAGGACAGAGACACACAACTTCTATTTTGAGCTGCCACATGTGATTATCAATTATTGCTTGAATTAAAATTTGGTCTCAAACATTTGAGCATATCTTTATTAATTGTTTTAATAATGTATCCAAAAAAATAAATGTATTATTACATGTTTGTTTTGATATTTGAGTGAATTTAAAATAAAAGAATCAATAGTAATATAAAACACACACACACACACACACTCAATGATTAAAGAGTTAATTGCTAAATAAACTTTAACCTTTTTTCGTTTGACAATTTTATCTCAATCTTTGGGTAATTGCAATATGTACTCGACCTCAATTTACTTATTGCAAGTCGACCTAAAACCAGTTGGACCTTCAAAAAGCTGGTCGATTTGAAGCCGGTTCGAATAGATCGAAACTCATATTTACCGGTTCACTCCAGATCTAGGAGGAGACTCATCACTGGTAGCTTACATCGACGTGGAATTTTTTGCCTTATGCGTGGATATACATTAAATACATGGAAATTGTCAACTTGCTACGTGGATGACATAAAAGCCCGTGTCAATGGAAGACTTGGACACAAGATCGATCCACAAATCCCTAAAATCAATCACTCTGTACCCAAATTTGCAATAAGTAAAGTGAGGTCGAGATTATATTGCAATTACCCAAAAATTGAGATAAAATTGCCAGACACAAAAAGGTTAAGGTTTATTTAGAAATTAACCCATGATTAAAAGTTATTTATTTGTGAGAAAAATAAAATTCTAACTATATAATCAATTCAAATTACACTCACTAAAATGATATATAGATTGATAAAAATATATATCTATCTATATAATGTACCAATCTATATTACCGACATAGTTTTGGTCATGCATTCAGCCATGAACTCTAAGATCTGTAAGGAAAAATGTTATACTTCACATATAATTAAGTTTTATTTATTAGCAAATTTCACATATAAAAAAATAGTTATTTTTTTCTTTACACATGGACTAATACGAATTAGGTATAAATTGACTCATACAGAATAATTGATTGATTACATATATTTTGAATATGACCATAATACCAATTTCATAGTAAATTTGCTGACGTGATTTTAAAAAGCAATATTGATTATAATTAAAAAACTATTTTGATTAATTTTATTACCATATTATGATTGTAGATATGAACTATGTTCATCAATGAAAAGTACTTTAAATATATAATAAATGAATTGTGTTTGAATTATATTAGCTTAATGAATAATTTAAATTATTAATAAAGTTTTATAAAATATATTCAGCTTAACTATGAAAAAATTAAAATTCTAATGAACATTTTATTTGTATTGATAATACTAATTAAAAATTAAATTATATATTCATAAATTAACTTTTGATGGTCGGGTGAAATTAAGAATTATAAATTTCACATTAAACTATCTATATACATCAATAACACTATTCACGGTGTTAAAAAAATAAAATTTTTATTATATACTATTCTATAAAGGAAAATGAGTAAATAAAATTATATAATTAAGTAATAATTGAAATTATAGCATATGGCAGTACTTGAAATATATCATATATCAGAATGCTTAAATTGTATATTAATTACATTATTATATATGGTAATAAAATAAAATAAATAAATAAATATAGACAAATAACATTAAAATTCAAAATAAAGTATTTACTATGAAAAATTTGTGTTGCGCAAGATATAAAAGTTAATGAAAACTAAAGATTGATTATCATAGTTGGTTGGTATTTCATGCAATTAGAATTATCATAAAGAAAAATTAATTTTATGGATTCAATATTGGTTAGTTATCGAGAAATATACAAAATATGAATGACTAAAAAAACTACAAGATTAATATAATCGATAATTATATAAAGTACATGCCAGCAAGTAGTATACAATCATTATATTTTAAATTTTACACGTTTATAATATTTTATAAACTAACAACTAATAAAATTCATAGCTACAAAAATAAATTAGAAAAATTAAAATTTAAAAGTCTGAAAATAAATATTATATTATTACATTCTTTATATTATCTTAAATAATTCAACATTATCTTTATTTATTATATCTCGTGCATTGCACGGGTAGCAACTCTAGTCTTCAAATATATATTTGAACCTTAACAACATGAACAAAGTCACAAACAATTATGTGCTCTTATGCTAAATTGACCCTAGCAATTTTAAAACAAAATAGTCCAAAAAAGTCCTGCAGTCTACACAAGAAGCTTCCTTTCTTGCGTTGAATGAGTCAAAAACCACACACTAGATAAAGATGAAAGGACAAAAGAAAATCATAAAGAGAAAAGATTAGCCTTTAATTAATTAATTAATTAATTAATTTTTGTTCATAATAAAATCATCAGCTCCGTAAAATTTCGCTTCTAACTCTCAAAATCTTCTCCATTTTAAGCCCATTTTTCTCTTCATAGAGAAAAATAAATATATAAAAGAAAAAAAAAAAAACTGAAAAAAAATGGCAGTTATCAAGATTTCACAGTCCTTTAAGACAAAGGTAAGCCCAAAGAGAATGTTCAAGGCCTTGATCTTAGATTCACATAATCTTGCCCCTCAACTTATGTTCTCATCCATCAAAAGCATTGAATTTCTCCATGGCAAAGGCGAGCCTGGGACCATCAAGCAGCTCAATTTCACCCAAGGTACCCAAAATTAGTCACATTATTATATATTAATTATTAGGATTTAGGAGTAATTGAAGAAACGAGGGTTGACGAGTGCGGTCCCACAGACATGATACGCACAAAAGCAAGGTGAGCTTAGATGGGACTTATTGGGGTTCCATCTTAAAACCAATTGGTTGTAGGAGGAGTAGCCCACTAGGTTTATAATTAGGCTATTTTTCTTGTAGTTGGGTGAACCGACTCTGATACCATGAAGAAACAGAGGTTGATGGGTGCAGTCTTACGGACATAAAGCGCACCAAAGAAGAGTGAGCTTAGATAGGTCTTAGTGGAGTTCCATCTTAAAACCCAATTGTTGGTAGGATGAGTAGCCCATTAAGTTTATAATTAAGCTTATTTTCTCTGTATAGATAATATCGGATAACTCACAAGTGTATATTATAACAACGATGACTTATAAGTAGCATATCTAATATTCAAATTAAGTTAATAATACATTTCTTTTTGTATCCTTTGCAATGTGATTGATCATGCAGATAGTCCATTTAACTACGCGAAGCACAGGATAGATGAGATTGACGAGCATAATTACACGTGCAAATACACTTTCATAGAAGGAGATGCATTGATGGACAAACTAGATCACATCACTTACCAAGTCAAGTTCGAGCCATACGGCTATGGAGGTTGCGTTTGCAAAGTAACAAGCGAATACTATACAAAGGATAACGTGGAGATTAAGGAGGAGGATATCGAGCATGGCAAGGATCGAGCCATCGGCATGTATGAAGTCGTCGAGGCTTATCTTTTAGCACACCCTCACTCATATACTTGACAATAATAATAATAATAATAATAATAATAATAATAATAATAATCTTTGAAAAACTTTGGGAATATATTGTATTCTATCTTTTTATTTGTGAGTTTGGATTGGTTACATTTAAAAAATAAATTTAAAGTAAGAATGTGTATGAAAGGTTATTTAAGCGGCAGTCTATGTGGAAATACAATGAATAAATCAGTCTTTTTCTTTTTTCTTTTTTTTTTTCAAATGGTAGACTTTCATTCATAACACACATAATTGCAAAACACATACAATGGTTAAGCAGCCGAAATCGACGGCCAAATGACCGAAGTGAGAGGACATCCCAGAGGGAGCTTAATTAAATACCACAACATATCCACATTATAAAAGAAAACAACAGACATTCAAGTAGAGGAGAAACAAACTCCCACAAATGAAGAAACAAAACTCCCAAAAAGAAGAACAACCTCTCACAAGTGGAGAACCAAACTCGGAGAACAACCACCCAATCAAATAGTGCATAATCAGTCATGAATGCAAGATTATGAGGTGATATAAGCAAATAGTGCATAATCCCATGACCAATTGAAGTTTTTTTTAGCATAAAAAATTAATTTGATAAGTATAAGTATTTTTCAATTGTGAGGTCATCCAGCACCAAAAACTTTTTCTTAATTATCACAAAGGTCGTTTATAGTAGATATATTTTTTGTCGTAGTTTATCAACGAAATGTATATTTATATTATGAGTATTTTATTTTAAAATATATTTTTGGAGTGTGAGGATTGATTATAAAAGCACGTCAATTGTTCATAATTAATTATGTAACAAACATGACTATAACGTTGTATAAACACTTCCCATTTTAAAATGAAATTGCATCACTATTCATGTAGACATCATGTCTTGGCTTCAAACAACATAATACCATAATTCGC